TTACATTAAAAATAATAGGAGAGTTTAAATAATAGAAAGAGTTTGATAAAAGAAATTAAAAGCATGCCAATTTAGTAATTTTGACAGCTTATGATGATAGAAAGAATAATAGGAAAATAAAGAAATCGAAGGAAGAAAATGAAAAGGTAATATATAGAATGTTGATGTTTAGAAGAATTTTGTAATAAGTTTTAAAGGTGCAAAACAGGAACGTGATGAAAAATAAAAGTCAAAAAGTATCTATAGCCTTGAAAGAGAAAGTTAGAGGAGTAGTAAAATGTCTATTTGGAAACCATTTACTAGCGAAACAAGATTTTGATGGAGAGAAACAGAAAGCAATTTTTATATGAATATGAATTTAGTTGAATAGACAAATAGAAATTGCTTTTAGGAAGATTAAGATGTATAAAATAACAATAAAAAAAATAAAAAAGAATAATTGATGATGAAGAGAAAGTAATTGGAAAGAGAATTGCCAGCTGATAAATTTAGAAGACAAGTATATTTTTTAATTATAGAAAGCATATTAATAATTTATTGAATTTAAAAATTAAAAATAAAGGAACAGCAAACATGAAAGTTCTTAGGAGAAACCAAAGGAATAAGGGTAATATTGATAAAAAATTATAGGGTAATTATATTAAAGATAAGATTAATTATTTCAAATGTTTTTCTAAAAATATAATTTTAAAAGTTATTTTAATAATAATAATAATTGTTATTGATTTAGATCAAACATATTTGCTAAGAGCAGCTTTAACTCGTTTGGCAACATTAGATTATTCTATTTTTTAATCTTCATTGTCTTTAGGTTATTGTTACTGCGGTTTTTAGGTATATTTTAATAAAACATTACCAGTAAGGGCTGCTTATTAAATATGGTTTAATAAAGTATTTCCTTTTATTAGAGTTTTTTGAATGACGCACTTGGTGTAACAAATTAATTCATGTTAAGATACTCTATTAGTAGTTTAATACAGGAGTTCTCATAATCATTTATTAATCTTTATTTTAAACTTCTTTCATTTTATTTTAGATATATACAGAGCTGGTGATTTTAAAGGGGAATTAGTTAATTGATATTTAACATATCATATTTGGCATCTCTATATTAAAATAAGTTAATATTTTACTATTCATTGGTTTATTGTATTCTGGCTTTCAAACCTGGTTTATCATTAACTTCTCCTATGTTACTATCATCTTCTGATAAAATGTTTTATTAATTTCCCTCACATAATTAAACATATTCAAATTTTATAGCATCTTTAAGCTGTAATTATTTTCTTTTGATTAGATTCTAGTATATTTTGTAACATTCAAATGCTTCTGGAGATACCATTGATGATGCTAATTTAAATGATAATTATGGTTGCAATAGTAAACGTTAAATCTAAGATAATTGGACATGCATCATTCAAGATTAATTAAGTCTTTATATTTAATTAGATTATCCACTTCCACTTCTTTTAATGATAAATCAAAAGGCATCTCAATTATTATCTATTA